TTTAAGACACAGTTAGGGGCCGGCGCCGCGGCTCACTAGGCTAATCCTCTGCCTTGTGGCGCCGGCACACCGGGTTCTAGTCCCCGTTGGGGCGCCAGATTCTGTCCCGGTTGCCCCTCTTCCAGGCCAGCTCTCTGCTGTGGCCCAGGAGTACAGTGGAGGATGGCCCAAGTGCTTGGGCCCTACACCCCATGGGAGACCAGGAGAAGCACCTGGCTCCTGGCTTCAGATCAGCGTGGTGCGCCAGCCGCAGCGCGCTGGCCGTGGCGGCCATTGGAGGGTGAACCAATGGCAAAGGAAGACCTTTCTCTCTGTCTCTCTCTCTCACTGTCCACTCTGCCTGTCAAAAAAAAAAAAAAAAAAAAAAAAAAAAAAAAAAGACACAGTTAGGAAGGTAATGAATGAAATCAGCACTTTTTTCCTCTAGCACCTGTGTGGTCTCATTTTACCTGCTGATCTTTGGTCTGTTTGGAGTCTGTCCTGAAGGGAGGCATGAAGCAGTTTTCTTTTTTAAATGGCCACCCTGTGGTTCCCAAATCATTTATTCTTAAATCAATCTTTTAATCTGAGAAGTTCTACTTTACTATTATTTGTAATACTTAATTAAATATTCTAATAATATTCAATTAAAGTTATAAAGAAACCTATTTTCCTCTTAACTTAATTTTTAAAAATTATTTATTTATTTATATGTTTATTTTTTTGACAGGCAGAGTTAGGCAGTGAGAGAGAGAGAGAGACAGAGAGAAAGGTCTTCCTTTCCGTTGGTTTACCCCCAAAATGGCTGCTATGGCCGGCGTGCTGCGCTGACCTAAAGCCAGGAGCCAGGTGCTTCCTCCTGATCTCCCATGTGGGTGCAGGGCCCAAGCACTTGGGCCATCCTCCACTGCCTTCCCGGACCACAGAAGAGAGCTGAACTAGAAGAGGAACAACCGGGACAGAATCCGGTGCCCCAACCAGGACTAGAACCTGGGGTGCCGGCACCGCAGGCGGAGAATTAGCCCAGTGAGCCGCGGTGTCGGCCTCCTCTGAACTTTCAACACACAATCTACAAATCCAGTAAATCCAATTATAAATCAATCAAGTGATTTTGTGTTAAAATTAAAAATACTCATTTTCATTGTATTTTGATTAATTAGCTTATACATTGGACAAATTAAAATCCTTAAAACATTTAAGAACTGGTTTTCAATTGAATTGTATTAGACATTATAAATTAAGGCCACAAAACTTATAATTATAGCAAATTAAAGCCTCTTAAACTCAAAAAACACTTACAAACTTGATTAAATTACCTGAAATAGTTCAATCTGTAATCACAAATTTAATATATTTTCTCAAGAATTTCCAAAATCTAAAGGATCATAATAACAAATCTAAGAAAAACAAGCAAGTATTTATTTATTCATTTTTAAGGTTTATTTAGTTACTTGAAAGGCAGAATTAGTTGAAAGGCAGAGTTAGAGGGAGAGACAGAGAGAAGAGAGATATTTCACCTGCTACTTCAGTCCCCAAATGGCACAATGGCCGGAGCTGCGCTGACCCAAAGCCAGGAGCCAGGAGCTTCTTCCAGGTCTCCCAGGTGAGTGCAGGGGCCCAAGGACTTGGGCCATCTTCTGCTGCTTTCCCAGGCACATTAGCAGGGAGCGGGATTGGAAGTGGAGCAGCCAGGATTCAAATCTGCGTCCATATGGGATACCAGCGACAAAGACGGCAGCTTTACCTGCTACATGGCCCCATGCCAAGTATTTTAAAAACTAGTGAAATAAACTTAAAAATCTAGAAGAGAGGCTAACATTGTGGCCAGCAGGTTAAGCCACTGCCTGCATGTGGGGGCCAGTTCCAATCTCAGCTCCTCCGTCTCCAATCCAGCTCCCTGCAGATGTGCCTGGGAAAGCAGCAGATGATGGGCTAAGTGCTTGGGTTGCTGCCACCCATGTGAGACCCAGATGGAGCTCCAGGCTCCTGGCTTCAGCCTGGCCAGCCCTAGCCCTTGTGGCCATTTGTGAAGTGAACCAGCAGGTGGAAGATGCCACCCCACTCTCTGTGTAACTCTGTCTTTTAAATAAATGAATGTTACTGGAACAGGCTTTCAAACATCTTAAAATTATTATAAATTTAATGTAAAATATTCCTGTTTAAACTTCAACTACCAACCAACCAACCTAATTGCTTGCATCGCCCTCTGTATTTAAATTAAAACAACAGATACAGTACGTCAGATTCTGTAGAACATTTCAACATCTCAAGAATGTACAAGGTGCAGTTTCTAGATACAGAAAATTTGTTTACCCTCCCTCTCTGGGAATGCCCCTGACAATTTTAGTTTTACTAAAGCATGAACAAAGACAAAGAAAATAAGAAAAATGACAAAGGCAACAAAATTTTGCAAGCCGGAAAGCAGATGACCCAGTGGCAGCCCTGAGAATGCTCAAATCCACTCTGGAGGAGGCGGGCTGCATCCAGAAGCTGTGGACTGTGCACCCCAGGAAGTCAGCTGCGGCTCAGGAGGAGGGGAAACGGGTCCCTCTGAAAGAGGATGAGGAGGGGCTGAGGCGGTAACGGTGGTGAGAGCCACTTTCCTTTTTCATCCTCCCGTGCAGAAACAGCAGTTGCTTTGCCTGGCCCCCTGGGAGGAGACTGGTCAGGCTCAAGAGACGATGGACCCGAATCCCAGGCATCTGAGGACAGGGCACTCAGGGCTGCAAATGGCAAGGGGTGCTGTGAAAATGTGCACAGCTGCTTGGTGGTTCTTGTCTTCGCACAAGAAGGCATTCAGAGTGGTGGTAAACCAGGTAGCAAAGTTTATTGAAAAGAATTGCACCTGATCGACCGGGCAGGCATCTCAGGAAAGGACCAGAGCCCACTTCGCATTCAGCCTGGAGCTTTTTTGGATGTGAGTATGCCCCTCCTCCCCTCTTCTCCACCCTTTCTCCTTCTTCAGGGACATTGTTGGGTAGAGGAATTTCTGGGTGTGGAATTCTGGAAAATCCTCCCAGGACCTTATCAGCCCAGTGTTATGGGACCTGCTAGCCTGGTTGGTGCAGGGCTGGGGAGATTCCCCTCAGCTGCCCCCAGGCAGAGGTCTAAAACCCACCTAACAGGATGATTGCACAAGGGCAGTACTTCAGATACACAGTTGCTGGTCAAGCTTGCTTCTACGTTTTTCCTCATCCCACAGCACAAAAATGCCCTTTTTTTTTCCCCCCAAAAAAATCCCCCATTTTCTTTGGCCTCTTACATGCTTAGCGACCTTAATGCTAGGAGATTTCCCAGTGGCTGCCAGAGCTTTGCAGGCAGCCAGGCTCAGATCCTCCCACCAAGCAGAAATCTGGAAGATCCCTTTTTTGGGGGAAGTTGGGGGGGGGGGTGGAGCAGTCTGAGAGAAGAGAGCCCAAGATGTTGACAGCAAGGACTGACTCCTCAGCCAAAGAGCCCCAAGCAGATGGTCTATAGCAAGGAAGTCCTCTGAACAGCCCTGCTCAAACTCCCAGGGGCTAGCCAGCTTCCTCCCACTGTGATCCCAGATACAAGCCGGGAGCTGAAAATCAGCAGGCTTTTGAGGAAAGCCAAAACAAATCATCAACAACAAACACAAGAAATGTAATCCTAGAGAAAGCAAAGCAAAGACAAAATAAATACCCACCAGTAACCTCCCCAGAAGGATAAGAAGGGATATGGTATCCATGAAACAAGAACAGTACACAACAGAAAAATAACATGCAGAGAATAAAAGAGCTTTTAGAAAACAGAAATATGTTAGTAAATTTTTTTTAAAACTGTAGAAATGTAATAGTAAAAAATGAAAAGCTCAGAAAAGGGTTCAGAAGACAAAACAGAAAATATTTTTTAAAAAAGGAACTAAAAGGAAGTGATGGGCAGTGGGGAGAGGGGATATAAGAAAATTGGAGAATTATGGGGCTGGGGCTGTGACATAGCAGGTAAAGCCGCTGCCTGCAGTGCTGGCGTCCCATATGGGCGCCGGTTCAAGACCCTGCTGCTCGACTTCTGATCCAGCTCTCTGCTATGGCCTGGGAAAGCCTGGGAACATAGAAGATGGCCCAAGGCCTTGGGCTGCTGCACCATGTGTGAGACCCCAAAGAAGCTCCTGCCTCCTAGCTTTGGATCAGCACAGCTCTGGCCATTGCGGCCAACTGGGGAGTGAACCAACGGATGGAAGACCTCTCTCTCTCTCTCTCTCTCTGCCTCTCCTTCTCTCTGTGTAACTCTGACTTTCAAATAAATAAATCTTTAAAAAAAGGAAAAAAATTGGAGAATTAAACCAGGAGAATTTCCATAGTCTGAGAAAAAAAAAAAAGAAGAGTTTCCAGAAACTAATCCTACAATAAAAGTAAGTCCTAGAGGTGAAGCATATATCCCAGATTAAAAGCTTTCTACGGGGGCCCTACCTAATGGATAAGGAAAGATTCATGCCTCTGCCTGCAGCACCGGCATCCCATATGGGTTCCAGTTTGTGTCCTGGCCACTCCTCTTCAGATCCAGCTCACTGCTATGACCTGGAAAGGCAGTGGAGAATGGTCCAAGTGCTTGGGACCCTATATCTGTGTGGGAGACCTGAAAGAAGCTCCTGGCTCCTGGCTTTGGATCAGCCCAACTCCAGCTGTTACAGCCATCTGGGGAGTGAATCAACAGATGGAAGTCCTGTCTCTCTGTCTCTCTCTGTCTGTAACTCTACCTCTCAAATAAATAAATAACCTCTTTTAAAAAAAGATTCATGCCAAGTATTGTTACAGGGAAGTGGCGACAATGGATTACCAAAACCACCTATGAGACCCACTTGGCTGATACCTTCCTGGGTAAAAACTGCGAGGAAAGAAGTTGACCTCTGTTCTTGTATCACGTAGAAGATTTTCCCTGTGGAGGACAGACAGCGCGGAAAGAACAGTGAGCAAAACAACATTTACTTAAGTCAGAAACCTGCTGCCACAGAGTAAGGAGGACCCCAAGAGAGGAAGACCCGAGAAACTCATCAAAGTGGGCTCTTTTAAGCACAGTTTGGGGGAGGAACAGAGTAGCAGCTGACAACCAACCAGAGGACTAGCCTGCTCAGGATAAAACAAAGTCACAGAAGGGAGGGTTAGGTGACTTGGTCTTTGTATCCTCATGTTAGAACTAGAAACTCAGGGGGTGAAACTGGTATCTTGTCTTGCTGAAGGCAGCTTCTGGGGCGAAGCAAGCAACTTGTCCACTCTTAAAGCCTTCCGCTTTTCTCATTCCCAGAGGGACCCGCCCTATCTGCCTATTAGCTCATTTACCTCCTCACAGTATCTCAAGCAAAGTCCAATCAGGAGACAGATTCTACACTGATTGTTCACCAGGGACAATGGATTCTAAAGCACTGTTAACTAATAGATGATTAACAATTGGAAAAAAGTAGAAGAGGGCTCTAAAACTTCCCAGAACAGCAGAGGCCCAAACCAGTACCACCTGTAAGCTAGAGCGGAGTGGATAATACAGAATACAAGTACAAGGGGATCCTTTCTCTTTTCCTCCCAAACACTGAGATTCGGAACTCTGGAGAGGATGTGGCTGCCCCAGGAAGAGGAATGTTCCTGGGTAGCCCGCTGGAGGTAAGAACTCACCGGAGAGGAAGAGTAGCAGCTGGTCTGTAGACACAGCTACCAGTGAGGAAAGCATGCCCTGAGGTACAGTTGGAGTGCCTTTGCTCTGGCCACTAGCCTTCCACACTGGACAACAGAGGGACAAAACCCAGAAAGGAACAGGGACTTGTTCCCAACAAATGTTTACCAGTTGTAGACCATTTCACAGAAATGTGTTGAAGGATGTGCTTCCCAAAACAAGGGAGTAAACCACTAAAGAAAGTCAAGTGAGATGCAAGGCAAGGAATCCCCAGGATAACAGTGATGGGATATTCTTTTTTTTTTTTTTTGACAGGCAGAGTGGACAGTGAGAGAGAGAGAGACAGAGAGAGAAAGGTCTTCCATTTGCCGTTGGTTCACCCTCCAATGGCCACCGCGGCCGGCACGCCGCACTGATCCGAAGGTAGGAGCCAGGTGCTTCTCCTGGTCTCCCATGGGGTGCAGGGCCCAAGGACCTGGGCCATCCTCCACTGCACTCCCGGGCCACAGCAGAGAGCTGGCCTGGAAGAGGGGCAACCGGGACAGAATCTGGCACCCGGACTGGGACTAGAACATGGTGTGCCGGCGCCGCTAGGCGGATTAGCCTACTGAGCCGCAGCTGGCCAGTGATGGGATATTCTGAGAGAGCAGTTGTTTCACTCTACAAAGCCAATGTCTTGTCCTGCCCCCACCCCCAAGAGGTGTGGCTTTCTGTGTACCAAGCATTAGCTCAGCCCTAAGCTCTACCATAAATACAGCAAGGATGGATCTCTTCTTGATTCAATCAAGGGCATTGGGTAATTAGTTTTATCTTCTTGAAGACTTAACTACTGGAGCATACTTGTTGCTTTGTGACACATGTATTTATGTGAGTTTTAATCAGTAGTTTCCCCTTTTCAGTAAAATTCATGAAGCCATGGACTGTGCCTTTTACTTACCATTAAACTTCCAATGAATGCCCAGAACAATGCCTAATAAAGTCTAATATCTTTTCTAAAATTATGAAATTTGGATGTAGAAAGTGTTGCCTTTTGATCTGAAAGTTTGCATCTCAGCAGAGGGATCATCTCTGGGGCAGACTGGCTAGCTCTGCAGCTAGATCTCTATGTGATGTGACCGTCTGTGGAGAACGGACAGGCCACAGACCAGGCTGCAATCCTGGGTCCTAAAGATTGGCAGTGTATGTCCATCAGGGGTAGCTGTCTGTACTGAGGCCATATGGGGAAAGGAGGTACCTCTCCTGTGTGCTTATTCTTTTTGGTACATGTGCAGGAACACGTGTGAACTAGGATTCTGAGATAATTTACCGTGAGAAGTACAGGAAGGCTGATACACATGGCAGCCTTGCCTCATAGCCTTTTCTTGCAGGCAAGATCCGTAGGAGGCCAGATTATCAGCAGATGGCTTGCAGAGCAGGCAAGCAAAGTTCATCCCTGTCAAAAAGTCTCCAAAGAAACCGGATAGTGAACAGTTTTGAAAAATAGAATTGGGGGAAGTGTACAAGCCAACGTCAAGGCTTACTATACGGTCACATTCATCAAGACTGTATGGAGTTGGGAAGGCAGAGACATAAGATCAATGGAACAGACCAGGGGAGCCAGAGCTAGACTCTCTCAAAGGCACCCAGCACACTCGCGTGTTTGACAGAGGCGCAAATGCAATGAAATGTAAGGGAGGTAGGGGCTGGCGCTGTGGCGCAGTGGGTGAAACCACTGCCTGAAGTGCCAGCAGACCATATGGGCAACAATTCAAGTCCCGGCTCATCCACCTCCGATCCAGCTCTGCTATGGCCTGGGAAAGCAGTAGAAGTTGGCCCAAGTGCTTGGGCCCCTGCACCTGCATGGGAGACCTGGAAGAGGCTCCTGGCTCCTGGCTTCTGATTGGCTCAGCTCTGGCCATTGTGGCCATTTGAGGAGTGGATGGAATCTCTCTCTCTCTCTCTCTCTCTGCCTCAGCCTCTCTGTAACTCTGCCTTTCAAATAAAATAAATAAATAAATCTTTAAAAAAAATAACAGTGTCTGCTCCAGACTCCTCCTTGCCTCCACGGTGTCTACAGCTTATGAATTTGACTCTCCAGGGGCGACTGCATTTCTGAGTTGTTGAACAGAAGAAATGTGTCAAGATAGTCTTCCTGTAGTAAAAACTTGCTAATTTCAACTTCTGCCTCATCTTTCCCATTAGTGATAATGCCAGCCTCATTCCAAATGTAGATAAAATTACTGTCGTCCCAGGGTAGTTTTGATGGCTTAACACCTGAGTGTTACCGTGTTTAAGCAGACTGAGCCACATGTAGGAACATGAAGAATCATGTGTATGTGTGTGTTGTAAATTTGCACTAAAACCATATCATAATTGTTCTTAGTTTGAATACACTGTGAAGTAAGGTAAATTATCTTCATAATTCATTGCAAGAAAATGACACCTCCCTATCTTTTGCAGTGTCAGTGCTTTGTGAGCTTTGGGGTAAGCTTCAAATGTGAAAAGGCCATGTAGTTCACCCTTCAGTCCCTGCTTCTCCATTTCTGGAACTATACAGATAACAAAATCCTCCATCACCTACTATAAGATCTAATTTTATAAGCTCTCCATGACAGGGTATCGCAACCCAACTCAGCAGTCCCTCAATTACGATGGGTCTCAAAACAGAAATCTGATCTGGAAGAATAACTAGAGTCTGCAAAGAAAAGCAGAGACAAAACAGTGGCTGGTCCTGTGCTAAATTACAAACAGTTCCTGGACCGATACTTAGAAAGATCCAGAACGTCCCACTTAGGTATCTGGTAACCTGTCAGTCACCCTGTTCTTTCTTGAGTCACTTTCCTTTCTTTTCTTTTACCCTCTCTTCCAGCCATTTCTTTTTATTTACAGTTTGTGTTCCATGTAAATCAATTACACACTAAGTACTTGAGAAGTTACTATGAGTCAAACCATAAGTATACAAACACAATATATAACCCAGACTGGCTGGACAGCATTCAGATAGGAGGCACAAGGAAGTGTTCATCACATGCACAGAGCTCCAGATCTGTCCAACCTGGTTGTTGCCACATAGGTCCCTTCCTTCCTTCCTTCCTTCCTTCCTTCCTTCCTTCCTTCCTTCCTTCCTTCCTTCCTTCCTTTCTTCCCTCCCTCCCTCCCTCCCTCCCTCCCTCCCTCCTTCCCCCCTTCCCTCCTTCCCTCCTTCCCTCCTTCCCTCCTTCCCTCCTTCCTCTCTTCCTCTCTTCCTCTCTTCCTTTAAGATTTATATATTTACTTGAAAGGCAGAGGCAGAGAGAGGTCTTCCATCCGCTGGTTCAATCCCCAATTGGCCGCAATGGCCAAAGCTGCGCCGATCCGAAGCCAGGAGCCAAGTGCTTCTTCCGGGTCTCCCACGTGGGTGCAGGGGCCCAAGGACTTGGGCCATCTTCTGCTGCTTTCCCAGGCCATAGCAGAGAGCTGGATCGGAAGTGGAGAAGCCAGGACTTGAACTGGTACCCATACGGGATGCCTGCACTACAGGTGGTGGCTTTACCAGCTACATCGCAGTGCTGGCCCTGCCATGTAGGTTTCTAAAGATGGGAAGAAATGGGGCTGGCCTTCTGACACACGGTTAAGCCACCACTGCCTGCAGTGCCCAATGCCCACCTCCCATATGAGCTCCTGGTTCAAGTCCATGCTGCGCTACTTCCACTCCAGCTCCCTGCTGATGCGCCTGGGAAAGTAGCAGAAAATGGCCTGAGTGCTTGGGCCCCTCCCCCACATGGGAGCCCTGCAAACAAAAGTTTCAAGGAATGTCATTCTTACAAGATTTTTTGTGTATCAAGGCACTTTTTAAAAATTTGCTGTGGAAGCAAGCCCACTTTTAGGCTTAAAACTATTCAGGTTATAACTATCTAAAAATACTGACAACAGAAAGCATTTCAAATATGGCTGTTCTTATCCATAGGGTTTTTTTGTTTGTTTGTTTTTTGTTTTTTTTTTTTACAGGCAGAGTGGACAGTGAGAGAGAGAGACAGAGAGAAAGGTCTTCCTTTGCCGTTGGTTCACCCTCCAATGGCTGCCGCGGCCAGCGCGTTGTGGCCGGCGCACTGCGCTGATCCGATGGCAGGAGCCAGGTACTTCTCCTGGTCTCCCATGGGGTGCAGGGCCCAAGCACTTGGGCCATCCTCCACTGCACTCCCTGGCCACAGCAGAGAGCTGGCCTGGAAGAGGGGCAACCGGGACAGAATCCGGCGCCCCAACCGGGACTAGAACCCGGTGTGCCTGCGCCGCAAGGCGGAGGATTAGCCTAATGAGCCGAGGCGCCGGCCATCCATAGGGTTTTTTAATTATATAAAGAGTATAAAAATTGTTGTGAGTTTAATTCAAGTGAACTTCCAGTCTTCCCTTTGCAAATATATGAATTATAGTTTGGCTTCTTTATGTATTTGCCTTTAAATATTTGTTACTTATTTTAATGGAAAGGGAAAGAGAGAGAGAGAGAGAAAGAGAGACTCCCCAAATGCCTACAGCAGCCAGGACTAGATCAGGCAGAAGCCTAGAACTCAGCCGGGGTCTCCAGTGTGTTGGCAGCAGACTTAAGTACTTGAGCCATCAGCTGCTGCCTCCCAGGCTGCACGTCAGAAGGAAGCTGGATGGGAAGCCGAGCCAGGACTCAAACCCAGGCACTCTGATAATGAGATGCAGGGGTCCCCCGTGGTGGTATCCGCTGCTGCGCTAAATGCCTACCTCACTTATATGCCTTTTATTTTTAATTTCAAAATTTGTAATTTTACCTTCAAAACAGGCTATTTTTAAAAAATTGTATGATGTACTCAACATATGCAGAAGTAAAAAGCACTTAGAAATTAGTTGAAGAACAGAGTTACTGACAAGTTACCAGTGCAGTTTTTCCCCTTGCACTCCGTTTAAATAAATCTGACTCCCTTGTTGAGTGAAAATAGGCGATGGGGAATGCCTTGGCTTTACAAGGATAAGCAAGATTGTCTCATCCATTGATTTGGAGGGTAGATTCCAGTCTACCCTGCATGTGTTAATTACTATGCAAAAGGTCAAGTATAATATCAAATCCAAAACCTCAGAGAAAAATAAGGATTCAGTCCTCGAGAGAACAGTGATAGTTTAACAATGAAAGAATCAAGGAAACTTTATCTGGAGTGTAAAGGCACAGAATTAGTGCTGCTAAAACAGTACACCGAGGATTGCAGAAACACCTGAGAGTTCCTTCTACATGCATGTGATAGACTCATGGGAGCTTTGCACATCACCTGTTTCATAGCTTTATGTACATTTATATATGAAGGCTTATCCATTTATTTGAAAGACAGAGAGAGGGAGAGAGATCTTCCTTCCACTGGTTCAGTCCCCAAATGGCTGCAACAGCCAGGGCTGGACCAGGCTGAAGACAGGAGCCTGGAGCTCCATCCAGGTCTCCCATGTGGGTGGCAGGGGCCCAAGCACTTGGGCCATCTTCTGCTGCTTTTCTAGGAGCATTCACAGGGAGCTGGGTGGGAAGTTTAGCATCTGGTTCTCAAACTGACACTCATATGGGGTTCTGGCTGCACCGCAGCAGCTTAACCCGCTGTACCACATGCTCCTGACCTGATAGATTTTAAGATACCTCCCAGCTTGGTAACCCTAATCTCTAAGGAAACGTTTGCTGATACCCAGGTCCTCCTTCTAATTGGGTGTGAAGCCAGACTGCAAAGTTCTAGCTGCTGTTGGGTACATGGCCATGTATATGTGCAGACTACAGTGACTATTCAAATCTGCAAGCTTGCCGAGCCTGCTGGGATTGAAATCAGTTTTAATTCACATCGCCTTGTGTTCAATTACAGCTAATCTTTAGATGGTGGAGGATCTCTCTGAGGAACGAGTATCGATCAACAAAACCTGGAGAGGCTAAAGAAACCCATGAAGACTTCCTGGAGAATTCACATCTTCAAGGTAAGGAAGGGAACATTATGTACTTATTGCCATTAAGCTCCCTTTTATTTGGGATAGTTGTTTTTTGTTTGTTTGTTTGTTTGTTTGTTTTTTAGGATTTATTTATTTATTTGAAAGGCAGAGAGAGAGTCTTCCATCCAATGGTTCACTCCCCAGATGGTTGCAATGGCCGGAGCTGTGCCGATTGGAACCCAGGAGCCAGGAGCTTCTTCCGGGTCTCCTACACGGGTGCAGGGGCCCAAGGATTTGGGCCATCTTGTACTACTTTCCCAGGCCATAGCAGAAAGCTGGATTGGAAGTGGAGCAGCCGGGACTCGAACCAGCTCCCATATGGGATGCTGGCACTGCAGGAGGTGGCTTTACCCGGTACTCCAGAGCACCAGCCCCTGTGATTGATTTTGTCAGAGAACTAGCAGCTTACCATCTTTTGAAATATTAATATTGATAGAATGTTGGATTCTTAAGTGACAAAATTGTTAATGTATCTTGAAGTTTCTTGTGGGAAGAAAGCTTAAGATTCCAGGTTAGGGGGCTGGCATTGTGGCTTAGTGGGTTAACCCACTGACTGTGGCACTGGCATCTCATCTGGGTGCCATTAATCCTGGCTCCATTTCTTCCTCTTCTTCTTTTTTAAATATATATTTATTTATTTGAAATGTAGAGTCACAGAGAGAGGAAGAGGCAGAAGGAGAGAGAGATCTTCCATTGGCTGGTTCACTCCTCAAATGGCAGCAACGGCCAGTGCTGGGTCAGGCCAAAGCTGGGAGCCAGGAGCTTCATCCAGGTCTCCTCCAAGGGTGCAGGGGCCCAACTTGTACCATCTTCTGCTGTTTTCCCAGGCTCATTAACAGGGAGCTGGATCAGAAGTGAAGCAGCCAGGACTCGAACCAGCACCCATATGGGATGCTAGAATTGCAGGCAGCAGCTTTACCTGCGGTGCCACAGCGCTGGTCCCCAAACCCTGGAACTCTGACATGAGATGCAGGGGTTCCTAACTGCTAGGTGAACACCTGTCCTTGGGTCAAATTTGAAGTGCAATTTGACTCACATGTGCGTTGCTTTTGTACCATCCTAGACAGGACTGTCTGTGTGTGAGGTATAAGAAAACATTTGATTGTTAAAGTGCGAGTTTCCAGCTAGAGGGCAGTTGGGACTTTCTGAGTGGGTAATCCTAAATTTCCTTTTCCTAGGCCGTGGCCACAGATTGACTTGGGTTTCAGTTTGCTTATAGAAGAACTCAGCAGGCGTGCATTTGGCATAGCGGTTAAGATGCTGCTTGGTGTCCCACGTCAGAGATCCTGGGCTCGGGTCCTGGCTGTGCTTCTGATGCCAGCTTACTGCTAACGTGTACCCTGGGAGGCGGTGGTGACGGCTCAGTTAGCTGAGTTCTTCAGCTCCTGGCTCCTGGCTTTGGCCTAGCTCAGTTCTGGCTGTCGTGGGCGTTGGGGAGTGAACCAGGGGGTGAGAGCTCGCATATTCTCTCTCTCTCTCCCTCCCTGCCTATCAAACAACAATGACAACCCAATTCAGGACACTAGAGACATCTCAGCCTAATGACTTTAATTAATTATTTTAACCTTTCTCAACATGAAAATTTCAGACATAAAAAGGAGACAGAATGGGTTTTAACAAACTCCCATAGACACATAACACAGCTTCAACAATACTGAAAATGTGGCCAAAACCTATACTTGAAGCCATTGTTCCCCCAGGATTATTGGGAAGCAAACCTCAGTTGCTTCATCATTTCCCCTTAGGATACTTTAGGGACTCTCCTCCACTCAGCTCCTTCATAATTAATTACTTTTAACAACTTTTCCAAAACTAGAAAGTACCTAAGAGAGTCTTATTAGTTGCCATTAGAAATGTTAATATCATGTACTTTCACATGCATACTCTCATTTTATTGTTTACAATATCCTTGGGAAACAAAAGAGATTCAGAAAGGATGTGACTTCCCAGTGTCTTCCAGCTAAATACTGGCAATGCCAGGCCTAAGCAGTAATAATAAAAGAATTAAGTATGTTAATATTACTTGTAGAAGGTAGATCTTTAATAATCAACACTCTTAAAATTATATTATTTAATATTATTGTATGTTATTTATTTACTTTTTTTTAGAGACAGCGAAAGTTTTGTTTTGCTTTCTTAAATAGGTCTGGATTGGTTGCCCCTAGTACCATACAATTACATGTACAATATCACTAACTCCTGGGATTCCTGTGTCAGAGTGCCAGTTAGAGTCCTGGCTGCTCCAGTTCTGATCCAGCTCTCTGCTAATACTCCTGGAAAAGCAGCGGAGGATGGCCTGAGTACTTAAGCCTCTGCAGCCCGTGGGGGGGACTTGGATGGAGTTTTAGGCTCCTGGCTTCAGCCTAGCGTCAGCTGTTGCTGCCATATGGGGAGGAAACCAGTGTATGGAAGATCTTTCTTCCCCCATTTCTAGCACACATTTATACAATTTATTATTGACTCTAAAAGAACTATATTGAGGAAAGGCTGTCTACTTAAAAAAAAAGATGGATTTATTTGAAAAATAGAGTTACAGAGAGGGAGGGAGAGACAAAGAGAGAGAGCTCTTCTACTGGCTGGTTCACTCCCCAATGGTTGCAATGACTGGGACTGAGCCAGGCCAAAGCCAGGAGCCTGAAATTCTGTGCAGATCTCCCACGTGGATGCAGGGGCCCAAACACTTGGGCCATCTTTCGCTGCTTTCCCAGGTACGTTAGCAGTGTGCAGGATCGGAAGTGGAGCGGCCGGGACTCCAGCTGGCGTTGATTCAGGATGCTGGGCTCAAACCAGCACTCACATAGAACACCAGCCCTCCGAAAGGATGCCAGCATTGCGGACAGTGGCTTAACCCACTGAGCTGCAATGCCAGCCCCCGTCTGCTTTTACTGAATAAAGTCAGTTCCAAGGCAGGTGTCTGGCCTGGCGGTTTAGATGCTGGTTGGGAACCCCCTCCCACATTAGAGTGCCTGCTCTCAGTACTTGGCTCTGGCTCCTGACTCCAGCTTCCTGATAATAAACACCTGGGAGGCAGTAGTGATCGCTCAAGTAATTGGGTTCCTGCCATCTGTGTGGGAGACCCGGCCTGAGCCTGACTCCCAGCTTCAACCCATTTCGGGGAGTAAATCAAGCATTTGCAGGTATTTGGGGGAGTAAACCAGTGCATGGAAGCTCTCTTTCTCTATATCAAATAAATTTTTTTAATTAAAAAAAAAATTAGTCCAGATATGCCTTACTTGTGGGATAGACATGTTTCGGCACCGATGGCTCTAACGAAGCTTGTATACAACATTTCATTTCTAAGTCAGGATCCATTCTGTTTTCTAACCACGGTCGTGCCTGCTCCAGGGCTGTGTGTCTAGTGAATGTTGCTGCTTCATTAACAAACCATGAAACTTTTCTGATCTAGTTCCTCAAAAACTTAGAGATACGGGGCTTGAGCCAGAGAGATTTTGGAGGCAAAGGCCAGCCATTGTCTTCCGAATGCTGATTTACCTGCCAAATCCTGGTCTGTCTCCTGAGAAGACCCTGGGAGCAGGGCAGTGTGTACATCAGCTTCGGGACAACCCCCTGAGGTTCTCCTGTTGCTGCAAGGATTAGGCAGTACAGGGGGCAGTTGCCTGCCTCCTCAGTGGCTCCCCACCAGCCTGGAGAGCGGGAGAGTTGGGGGTTCAGTCCAGGAGGTCCCAGCCAGCCTTTTCCAGCAGCAGTTTTGCAGTTGCAGCCCAGGACTGCCGGTGGCCTGCGGCTGGGAGCAGCCCTGGGACCCTCGCTAAGGCCGCAGGTCCAGTTCAGCATCTCAGAGGGGAAACTGCACCGGACAGTGCTGCTGGGAGTCTGTCTTCCTCCTGGTTAGAGAATCCTGCGGAAGGACTCGCTCTCCTCTGTGGCGCAGGGGCACTCAGGAGCCAGACAGCTAGGATTCCAGTCTCCGTGCTGCCAGCTGTGTGACCGCTGCTGACTGCCTGTCCCCGTGTGAGTCAATTTCCTCCGCCTTCACTGAGGTTAATCAGGATGACTCCGTGTGGTGGTCCTGGTGAGCATTTAATGACTTGATCCATGCGTGTAATTTAGAGCCTGGTGGGATACATAATCAGCTCCCACTGTTGTCTGCTGCTGCTCCGTACTTCTGACTGGCTGGGTTCATCTCATCCCATCTCTTTGTCATATTGCTAAGATCCCCGGAAGGTTTTCCCTCACGTGCTAGATCCAATCCATCAACAAAACCAGAATCTGAACCGTGGTAGGCTGCCTCCAAGACACCTACCAGAGAGCCCACCTCCCAGGACTTACACTCCGTGCGGCCCCTCCCACACTGTATCCAGGGCCATCTGTGGTCCACACAGGGTTTGACAGAAGTAATAATGTCTCCATTTAGGGGGGGAGATTTGTTTATTTTGAATGGCAGAGCGATATATACACCTCTCTCTCTCTCTCTGTCTCTCTCTCTCTCTGTCTCTCTCTCTCTGGAGAGAGAGCTTCCGTCTGTTGGTGCACTCCCCCAGATGGCTGCAATGATGAGGACTGGTACAGGCTAAAGCCTGGGATTCCATCCCATTTTTGTGCCGCCCCCCCTAAAAAAATAGTTGAACTCCATGCATTTTCCCCCAGTGTACATTTTACATGAACATTTTGAAATTCCCTCATATGCATGGACTTCAAAAAGTTTTTGCACCTAAATAAACTTTAAAAAAAATATTTATTAATCTATTAAAAGGCAAAGTTACAGAGAGGCGGGGGGGGGTATATTCCATCTACTGGTTCACTCCCCAAATGACTGCAATGGCCAGAACTGGGCCAATCCAAGGCCAGGATCCAAGAGCTTCTTCTAGGTTTCCCATGGGGGTACAGGGCCCCAAGGACTTGGACCATCTTCTACTGCTTTCCCAGGCCATAGCAGAGAGCTGAATCAGAAATGAAGCAGCCAGGATTTGACCCAGCACCCCTATGGGATGCCAGCACTGCAGGTAGTGGCTTTACCTGCTATGCCA